GTGTGTACACGGAGCACACGGCAGTGAGCAGCCCCGGGGTGGGAGGACCTGGGCCTGTCAGGCCCACTTCCCATCAGTGCACGTCACAGATACGGGGCTTTCCTACAAGTGGCTTTCCTACTGACTGCTGCACCACTGGCTGTTCCCTGGCCTCCCATTTATTTTGCAGTTTTGGGCCAGGGCTGGACTTGACCCCACTGCCTCCAGCATATGGGGTTGGCGCCCTACTCCTTTGAGCCACAGGCACTGCCCCAGCCTCCCTATTCTCTGGACATAACAGTATTGAAATGACACCACTTAGTAACCCTCGAAGTGGCCTCCTAGTGTTCCAGTGAAAGAAACAGTCACCTGTCTCTCACGAAATCAAAAGCTAGAAATGACTAAGCTCTGGGAGAAAGGTGTGTCAGAAGCCAAGCGAGGCTGAAGGCCTGGCCACTAGCTCCAGTTAGCCAGGAGTGACTGCTCAGAGCAGGTCCTGATGGAATCACAGTGCTGCTCCAGCGAACACAGGAATGGCTGGAAAGGGAAACGGCCTTCCTGAGCTCTGTGCATCTGTTCTGCCTGTGCTGTATAAAGGGAACACAAAGCCTGGACACCAGCACGGCTGTTGTTTACGTGGTGAACATGAAACATGTCAAGGTTACTACTGAGACCTGCTCAGAAAAAAAGGTTCCTTTCAAAATGTTGCTGCTTGTTCATGAAGTACGTGGTGGAGCGAGAGCTCGGATGGAGGTGCACGAGGAGATTAATGCTGTTTTCATGCCTGCTAACACAGCGTCATCGTGCAGCCATGGGCCAAGGTGTCACTTCAACTTTTAAGTCCTGTTATTTAAGGAATTCTTTCAGGTTGAGTACAGGGACTCTCTCCTATAATCCTAGCATTTCGGGAGGCCAAGGTGGAGAGATCGCTGGAGCCCAGGTGTTTGAGACCAGCCTGAGCAACATAGCAAGATCTTGTCTCTACCAAAAAAACCGAAAAAGTTCCCAGCTACTCAGGAGGCTATGCCAGGAGGATCACCTGAGCCCAGAAGTTTGAGGTTGCAGTGAGCTGTGATTATGCCATTGCACTGTAGCCCAGGCAATAGAGTGAGACCTTGTCTCAGAAACAACAGAAAAAGGAATTCTTTCATAAGGCTGTGGCTCCACAGATGGTGGTTCCTCTGATGGGCTGGGCACAGTCAGCTGAACACCGGCTGGAAAGGAGTCACCATTCCAGATGATGCCGTTAGGAACACATGATTATGGGAGGAGGTCAGAATACCAACATTAACAAGAGATTACTAGAAGGTGGTCCCAA